TTTTTCATATATTCACAATTTTTACTGCATATTATATAGCATCTTTTGATACTTTTTGGTATATACTTTTAAGAATTAGGATAAAAATCTGTGCTTTACTARTAACTAATGTATGGATCAGGTTAGGTTACAGGTTAGATCAGGTGCAACAGAGCATGTTGTCATATATTTCACATTTACCTTATTTATTATGTAGATTGTAGGTAGTTTCCCAAATTTGTAATGTTCACGAGGGAACTGACAAATAAACTAATATTCATTTGTACAATTCAAAAATTATCTAATAATATAAATATAAAATAACATTTATTTACAAAACTTGAAATGAAAAGWCATTATTATAGTTTCTAAATATGTATTTATTTATTGATTTTATAATATTCAATCTAGATGTTTATGCAAGAAACTAAGTCTTATAATAAACCTAAAAATGAATGAAAATATTCTAAAATATGGAATGAAATTAATATAAATTATAATATTTATTCATAGTAGTATTAATTAATATAGCAACTATAAAGTTCTAAAATAATATTACTACATTCTTCATTTGAATGTGTTTATTTATTCTTCAACTGCAGTTGAAGCAGTATTTAAAATAACTTCAAAAGAAAATGGTGCAAATGCATAACCAAGTCCTTTGTAAAATTTGCTCTGGAACTCAACCCTGAAAAAAAAATAAAATGTCTATGTAAAAATGGTATAACTATATTAAATAATAAATATAGCATTTTTAACAAATTTATAAATTATGTAAAGTGTTCAATGAACCTAGGTCTCATAAAACATCTTCAAATAAACATTTTGGATGCAACTCAAAGAACTATGTAATAATTAACATATATATTTTGTTTTAAATGTAATAATAAAACATTATTTTAMCAGTGCAAACGAAGAGTATGCAAAAATGCAGAAAGCCCTTCCATAAGAACGAGAATGCCCACTGTTAGGATTGCCCAAAAACCAAAGACAAACCACAACCAAACTCCACCTATCCATGAATTCAATATCAGACCTTTAGTCATTACCATACTCCATAACACTTCAGATAATTCTAAAAATAAATTTAATTAATATACAATGAACAGTGAACGATACAAATAGTTATGTATACTTACGTGCATGAGCTAAAGAAAGAGCCCATAAGCGAAGGTATGATGCAGTATGACTCACAGATCCAAGAACATATTCAATAGTATGAATGCCTTGATGAATAAAAAGTTCACCAATCTCATTTTCATCATGTCCACCAGCTGGTGGTGGTGGTTGTTGAACTACTCGGCCAGCACCTTCTGCATCACCATTTTCAGTTGTTGCATGGCCATTAACCAACTGTAAATAGGATATAAAAATGTAGTAATTTTTTTAATTTTTGCTAAATATTTATATTTTCATGTTATGTAATATTATAAATTTAATAATTTACTTGTACATGTTTTTCTTTCTGTTGACGCATAATGTAGATTGGTTTGGCAAGTAACATAATTGGTACACACAAAAGTGCAACTATGACTAAAAACTTTTGTAGGGCACCCTTAAGAAAATATTAAATGATTATTAAAATAATAAATTCACCTGAATACTAAATAATGTAATTTTTATTTTATTCATTTAATAATAATGTATTAAGGAACTAGAGTTACCTGTCCAGAAAACATGTAAACTGTATTACAATTTTCTAATGCAACAGCATCTTTGAATAACACCATATTAATAAACGTAATTAAAATGGATGGTGCACAAGCAGGACTATCGGGAAACTCTATTAACATTTTTAATTATTAGATTATATAAAAATAATTCAAAAATATCTATTGGTCAATAGATTTTAAAGTACATACCATTTTGTGGTCCATATGATACCCATTTAATAAACATCAATAAAACCATATAAAAGAATAGGAATGTCAAGAATATGACTTGAGGAATAAAATCACAATAAATAGAAAGCCGATCTTTAAAATACCTAAAAATTGAATTGTTAGTTAAATATAACAATACAATTATTTTAATATGTTAATTAATATTAATAAACATATTTTAATACCCTTACCTATAATTGTACAAACTGAGGCTAACACMACTCAACATATGTAATACACCAATAATAATGGAAATTTTCATTTTATATGCATTTAAAAACACGATTTTGTTTAATGCCAACTAGAACAATAAATATTTATTTGAATATTGAACAAATAAATTACAGACTTATTGTTATGATTTTGAAAATATATTATTATTTTACCTGCCATACGGGGTCGAGTCCTACTGGATATGGAGCTTGATCATAATCTGACGATAAGGAAGGATTTATCTGTAAATCTTTATTACTCATTACAGTGGATTCATTGTAATTAGTATGCCAATGAGATCCAAACAAATTGAGAGATTTGGAAAATATATCGTTGTAAATAAAACCAGTATACATAGAAAAAAGACCCATGAGTAATATTATGTATCGTCCAGCAAAGAATATATTCCATACCTATAATAAATAATATTAAATTATCATTTTAAAAATTCAATTTTTTATTTATGTATGATGTATAATTATTTACTTCATTGTCAGTCTTTTTTGCAGCTAATGGTTTTTCTCGTAGTACTAAGAAACCAGCAAACAAAAACATCAATAATCCGTGACCAAGATCTCCAAACATCACAGCGAACAAAAATGGAAAACTGATTATGGTATATGGAGCTGAAATTAATTAAAAAGTAAAAATAATAACAAAGTGGCATAACGCTTTATTTGAAGTATTTAATATAATGGGTTTTACTAGGATTTATCTCTCTGTAACTGGCAATTCCATAAGCATCCACTAAGTTTTGGAAAGCACTTGTAAATTTATTTGTTCTGTTATAAGTTGGTGGATCTTCAAATGTATCCATTCTATTTAATATAGGTGGTACAGAACTTCCACTACGTTCCTATTAAAATTTTAATTAAAAATTAAAAAATACATTTTGAAATAATTGATATTAGGACTTACAGTTCCTCTACGTAAAGCCAATTGTATAGTTTCAATATCAAGTAAAGGAACCCAGCATTCAGCAATTAAACATTTCTGTGTGACGTCTAAATTAAATAAATTTAGTGTATGATAAATTGCTTTGATCTTAACAACTTTAATAAACCAATTTTTTATATTTTTTGCTGCAGCAACAAGCACACGGTGACGATGATCTTGTGTTTGACCCAATACCTAAAATAAAAATGGTAGATTTTTTACATACATTTTGATTTAAAACCTAAAAATTACATACGGTATTTAAATCTTCAATTCTTGTCATAACACCCATAGCCATTTCACGACGTTGAGATGGAGCTTCAGGGCATGGGTATAATGTAGCACGGAATCCTTCACATATTTTACGCACTCGAGACTTCAATTGATCTCCTTGGAAGAATATGATGAAAACTGATTTGTGAACTTGATCTCCCTAAAGTAAAACATTTTTTTTTTATAAATAATRGTTAGAATTAATTGTTTAATAGTAATTTATTATGTCTATATTGTATGTGGGCCAGAGAGAAAACTATTAGTGAWGCTGATGTACTCTTCACCAGATTTACTTGATTAGGAATGTTCAAATTAACTGTAGAACATGATGTTTTCCTACTTTATAGATTTTTTTTAATTGTATACATATATATAATATATACATATCATTGATAGTATATGCAGTAAAAAATAATTATTTAATGTATACAATTATTAAAAATGATTTTGTTATAAATATAAATATCAAATTTATTATTAATATACAGTGAAACCTCTGACAATGGACATTCTCGGTCACTGAAATTTTGTTAGTTATTAGAAGAAGTTTGTAATTCAGAGGGTTTAGATGAWAGAAAATTTGTAGTTGGTTCTAAATAAAACGTCAACTAGTGTGAGGTAACTAACAGTTATTAGGAGGTTTCACTGTTTATGTTATAGATTAGTATTGTTTCATCATAATTAATTCTTACGGTTGATGGATCTTCCAATGGAGTTTCGATTTCTGCTTGTCTCAAAAATACATTTCCACGACATGCACGCCATAACATCCGCTCAAATGCAGGAATTCTTTCACGTAGTATGACTCCAGCAACAAACCTTTAGTTTTAAAGTAAAGTATTAATTTATGAAACATTGTCCAATATTTATAAGACATAATAAAGCATTGAAGACAAAACCATATTAGCCAGACTATTAAAATTGTAAGTAAAGAAAACTAAGATTGTGGTGGAATGATCAATGTAATATTCTCCCATTTACCAATGTCTGCACTGGACCTGCAATTCTTCCATGTATTCCACTCACCAATTCAGAAATGATAGATTATTATAGCGTTTATGAAATAATTCAAATTAATTATTAAAAATAATTCATCAAACTTTCACAGCAAAACATAAATGCCCTTAGTACAAGCATGTTTAAATATATATATATATATATGTATATATATATATTATGTATAAATAATATAAATTTTATTTAATTATAGTTATGTTTTGTAAATATCAAATATGTAGATGTGTACATAAATAATAATATCAATATAGATACATACCCCAATTGCACTGGGCCAGCGTTGACTTGACGTGCTATTGAGTCATCACTAATAAGAGCTCGCGTCATCGATTCTGTTGGGTGCAAACCACCCTCTTGCTATTGTACACCACACACACACACACACATATGGTCGGAAAAATTTGAATAAATGTTTGATTTTTAAGATTATTTAAAAATGTATTAAATTAGAAATTATCTTTTTGGTATTTATTTAAAGCTAATACATTATATTATGTGAAAATTTATTTGACAAATATATAAACCAATTTTAGTTGATGAAGTGTTAAAGGTAAATATTTAACTAAAACATATATTTATGATTGATTAAATTTATTTATGCTCAATTAATAAATAATCAGTTCTTTCTTAACTAAATTTTAACATAAAACAAAGAGATGATTTAATTTTAATTTAATTTCTGTTTTATTTTTWATTATTTTTTAWACAAAATATGTATTATGAAGGAAATATAGTTATTTTGCTCTGCAATGATTTAATATGTGTAAAAGCAAAGCAGTGAAAAACAAGCACCGTTTATGAAACCCATATTATTTTCAACATTCCATAATAATTAGACCATMAACCAGTATTACTTATTATTAATCTTCAAATAATTGTATTAGTCAATTAGACAAGCGTGTGTAAAATAATTAAATATCTAGTCCAAAACTGTTGTATATGATATACAATTCTAAAGGACAAAACATGATCAACAATTTACWATAAAATCATCCAATAACAATTAAAAATATTAAGTACAACAGTTTTACACCATGAAACCCAGGTCCAGTAATGTTATCCGAGAATAAGAAATAGGCACCTTTTGGATATTTATATCCAAGGAACCAATATGTGTCTTATTTTAAAATATCCTCCACCACAATCTTATTTACAAACTAACACAATGCAATAAATTATACTTAAATGATATTTGTGGTTAGTAATAAGTACATTCACAATATTATTCATAAACCTAATATTAAATTGCCATTCAATATAGAATTGTGATTCCCATTCATATTATAATACACTTTAAATAWTATTTAAATGTGATTGCTTCATTGATAGTGTAGTTGAAAGTACATTGKAAATACAGTATATTTATAATTGATCATAAATAACTAAATTATCAGTTATTCTTGAATAGTTTTTTATGAATATATCACAAAATACAAATACAAACTAGAAGAAACTTAYTTATAGATAAATTTTGATTAAAAAYGCTCTTAATAATTTTACAATAATTAAATGTAATATGATAATTCAGTAGTAAAATATATTTCAATGCCTTAGTAGTGTAAACAATTACTTCTTATCCTATTATGTATGATATAATACAATATATAAATCAGGGTTTATTRCCAGATTATAACCAGCTGGGTAAGGAGTTGGTTAGGTTAGGTCATTATTTAGTCTTTCAACACTAACTATAACCAATATCATGAAACCTAAAATAAGGTTTAAAATATACTAAAGAATTAAAAATAAAAACTGTAACTGAAAAATTTTAAAAAACAGTAGATAAAAAACCTACATGAAATTGAAATAATTATCAACCAGAATAAGTGCTGTCATAACAGCATTGAAAGTTTCCAACCGTAAACTAGTTTTAAGCCTTGCTTTGGCCAATTATGGTGTCAGAAATTGAAAAGTAAGAGATTATAAAATTAGTTATAAGCAGATTTCAAAAAACTAATTTTAAACTTGTATGGTTATACGAGATTATGTATAACTTTCAATAAGAAAAGAAAATCAAATATATTGAAAAGAAAATTTATTGGACATTTTCTGATGACTTTTCAACTAATAAGGATAATATAAACATCAATTAATTTGTTTTTTTGAAAAACATACACAACAAGTATTAAATATCAAGAAAATACACAAAATGTTAGATCAGAACGAGTCAATTAACACACAAGATCATAATAACACATTTAGAGAATCTACCTAAAATAGTAGTTCCCAACCTTTTCTGGTTCAAATTTTGACTCTGATTTTTTCAATAATTTTGAACCCCAGATTAACAATCGAGCAGAATACCTAAATAATAGTATATTTATAATCCCACAGATTACATGATTGCATTGGATAGAATATCAAAGCATATAGCAATTAAAACCAATACTACAAATGAAAATATTGTAAAACCGTACCCTAGTTTGAGGGCTTGACCACCGGCACGAAGTCCTTCTTCGCCTAGCAGTGTCACTTGCTCGTCCTCCCGATTTGGGTCAGCCATCTGCGAAGCAACCGCGGTACCCATTTGCTGTTCAGTCTGGCAACACATACACACACGCGCGCGCATAGGGACGACATACGGACATACACCACCCCACCAGACAAATATTTTTGTTATAGTAAGTATATGATGAAAATGATTGTAAGAAAAAGTAAGCATCAAAAAATATCATACACAATGTTATCATAGTTTTGATAAAATAATATAACTATTGGATTTATAAAAATAAAATAAATAAGTTGAAAAGATATAAAATTTTGTTGATTATTTTTAATGACATTTATGACATTAAATTTTTAAATATAATCCATTTTTAATGCTTACTAGTAATAAAAATTAAGCAACATAAAATAAGAAGCTCAACTTAATAATAATAAAAAATGATAAAATAATTAAAGCAGAAACTTTGTATTTCAAGTTTCACTTTTTACAATGGTGTATGCAAATGCTATAAAAATGATGGTTGAAAATAAATATGATTTGTTAAATGGTTTTATAAAATAATGTGAAAATTTATAAATATACCGAAAAGCTCGAAATGGATTCTAATTATCAAAATACAATAATTTTTTCTAAGATCAAACAATATAGTTCAATTATTTAAGTCTAATTTTTTATAATTAACTTATATTACCCACACCAAAAATATGCATGCTTTAAATGATGATTATCTTGCTATGTTGACACAATATTTTTATAAAATTATTTCATGAGATGTCATGTATTGCTATAACATGCATGTAAGTATAGGTATAGGATTGGTAGATAAAATATATTTTACATGAAGATTTGGTTTCAAATCAAATAAAAAAAAAAAACAAATAACATAAAAATAGTTTAGTTTTTTAAACATGATAATATTATCTCTATCATCATTGATATAAAACAATAATGATCCATATCCTAATATACTCAATAAAAATATATATTTTTTTATTTATATATAATATATACATATATACTAGTCAACATTGCCAAACAAAAGTTTATTATATTTACAATACTCAGGCAACACACCACTATTTTATTTTTTAATAGGTAATTCTTCTTCACCACAGGATAACATTTATTCTGATATTTTACCTCCACCTCTGTCTCTTATCATTTAAAAATTTACATAATGATATAGAAAGAAATATTGAGCAATACATAATTTCAGTGATATATTTAAGAGAGAGAATGAGAGTGCAGTTATGTTAACTGAACAGAAGATGCAAACATGCAAATGATAAGCAGGTATAATATAGTTAATACTTTACCTAATTAAGATACTATTTAAAATATAAAATTGTGTAATAAGAGATTTTAGAAAATTGATAAATGTATCCTCCAATATAAATTATATTATGGACTGAGAGAATACATTTTAGTTAAATAATTGTAGATACAAGGTAATCACTACTAAATATTTGTTATAAGTTTGATTTAATTTGAACACATTTATAATTTTATAAATTAAGAGGGCGYAACACCTGTATTTGTTGCCTCAGTCTTTCAAACGCTTAACATAGCAAATTTACTCTCAGAAATTCACATTTTACTCTGTTAGCTTAAAAATTAGAGTGAATATATTTATTATGAAACTTGATAGTAAGAACATTATCTGTGTATTGTTGGAAACATTTGAACGATAACTTAGTTTTTAAGTGAGTTATGAGTATTTTTATTTTACAATTTATTATATGTGCATAATTCAATTAAAAACTGAATTATCATAAAAATACTTCCAACAAAAYACAGATAATGTTCTCACCATTATGTTTCATAATAGGTCTACTCACTATAATTTTTTAAGCTTACTAAGTAAAACGTGAACTGCTGAGTGTAAATTTGCTGTTACGCGTTTGTAAGACTGAGACAACAAATACAGGTGTTGCGCCCTCTTAAATACGAAATACCTAATCAAAATATATAAAATATAAGCAAAATGGAATATTTTACAAGTTCTACATTTGTGCTATTAATAAATAAAGCTCAACTTGATAATACTTGCAGGCAATAAAATTTAAAAAAAAAGAAAAAAAATACTTATTAAATCACAAGAAAAAATAAAATGCAAGGAAGTAAGAAAATGAAAGAAACCCAAATGAAAACTTTAAGATYCAACTATGGTGAGGTGGTTCCTGTTAAATTTTATGTTGCCAGATACTGAAACTTTTGAGATCATTATAATATAATAATATATTATTTTTTATAAAATCTCTAGACAATTAGGTACCATTAATTTTATGGAAATATTATTTTTAATAGGCAATAGGCATAAATGCGTATTTAACCAATCTAACAATTTTTTWAATTTAATTATTGTATTGAAAATTATTATTTCACAGAATAAACCTACAAAGATAACTTCAAATATTTATTTTAAAATTATTAAGTTAAAAAAAAATTACCTCATCAAAGAATACTTGAGTTTTTCGTAAGATATGTTTGAGCTCTGTTAACTCAAGAAAATTGCGTTTCAAGGCTTCAGCGTTATGRTTTACTTCTCTCAATTCATTTTCTAATTTTTCAAATGTAGCCTATGACAAAATATATGAATAAATTAACATATTACTTTAAAAAAACTACTTAGATTAATACAACAAAAGATTTTAAAATAATGAACTTTTATATATAGGTATATTATATTTAATGATTAGATGAATTACTTCAAGGTCAATCATTTCACGAGGCTGAGGAGCCTCAGGATTTTCACCAGTATCCAACATGGGTATTTCGTCCTTTTTAATCTCCTTTTCCAAGTAGCGTAGTTTCCGTTCCATTTCGTCGCAACGGCGTACCTCACTAACAAACTTCCGTTGAAAAGCGTTGACATCAGGATTCAACTGAGCATCGGGAAAGAACCAAGTGAATGGGAAACAGAAAACACGGTTAACAAAAATCAGAAGAAAATAAAAGCTACCATATTACAATATGATGTACTTACGTCCCTAAACTGAACCAGTCCCAATTCACCGAGTTCGGATACGCAGGCATACGCGGCTTCGCTCTGCAAAAACAACTGGCACAGGGCCATCTCCTCGCTGCGGAACAGCGATCCCATGGCTGCGATTCAGAGGTCTGCGTTCTCCAATGGAAAGACGACTTGGCAGCCCCTCGGTCGTTGCAAATATTGTTAACGACGCTCGCTATGATACGCGAAACTTGGCGCGATGGACAGCGGATAGACGTCCGCAGAACTCGACAATTCTATAATCTATAATGGCACGGGTGTGGCTGTATCACACACTTCCTAGCCACCTACCGTACGATTGTCGATGGGGATGGGCAAAGCGATACGGAGTACGGACTAGGTCAGAACTCAGAATCATAATATCTCGAACATCATCACAACAAATACTTGACACAACCAACTACGGTTTATTATTAAAACGGTGAAAATGCTGCACTGATAAAAACTGATATTGCGCGGTGATAAACTGATATCAATTGTTGCCAGTTTTTGATAACGAAATWAAAATTTTACAATACTTACAAATCTTACATACAAAAAATTAAATAAAAAGTACGACTACGTTGTTTGTAAAAAGTCGGTAGGTATAATAATCAAAATAATATTCATCGTAACAACAAAACACGGAGTCTTAACTACCGAATACACTTTAATATTAACAGGTCCTCACAATGTCTGAATATGAATCATTCGGTGGAGGACGTTTGAAATTAAAAAATGATTCTGGAATAAAGAAGTAAGTGGATGTTAAAGTATTATACGTATAACTAGGATGGAACACAAAGAAGCTTCTGTTTATTTTTTCTTATGCCTCTAGTATTGTTATAACCTTATAACATATGCCATGTAAATATAATATTCTTCATCTATTTTTCAATGTAGTCACCGAATCGATTGATACATTTTCAATACATATCCAGAGGACATTTCTGTATACCCTACTGTCTTATTAACAATTAAAACTTAATAAATGAATTTGTAATGTGCTACAGAAACACTCAAAATGTTATATTTT